TTTAAAGCAACAATTAAATGTATTTTTATTTATATTTTCAGTTCGTATAATGTTTTCTTTTCATACAATACCGAAATAATATCTCACATACACTAACGCCACATATTAGATCCATATCAGTTAATAAATATATTGACAAAACGGCGCCAATCCGTAAGCAGCGTAATGACGTCATCCTAAGTAAACAACTCATTCACAAACAAGCTGACGTTATTTCATACATACAAGAATGATAAATGGGGCCCTGATGTAACACATTACGACGTAAGTTTTTATTGTTGAAAACTTGATAAAATAACGTTTTTTTCTTATTATTTCTTTTGTTTAATAATTTCTTTATCTTCGCAACAGTAGGGTGCGAAAATCGAACAGCGTTATACGAAAATCGGCACCGGAAGTTATTTCCGCTTGAAAAATAACATTAGTGATTTTCCTTATTTTATCGTGTTAGAATCGAAATAACATCGGCCTGAGAGGTGTATATCGGCTATTTAACACCGGTTTTGTCGTTTTGATGCGACAAAATTAACCACTCAGGCCTACGGCCTTCGTGGTCAATTCCTACGCATCAAAACTCCAAACCGGTGTTAAATAGCCGATATACACCTCTCAGGCCGATGTTATTTCTTAATTTTAACATGAATTTATATCTTGCGACATTTAACGGTAGTGTTGCGAAATTTAACGGTAGCGGAAATTCGTGCGACATTTACAAACTCCTCACACTGATTACCTCCCTTGGCAGAATTGTACTGATAAGGGGAGATCACTGCGTAGCAGATTGCGACATTTAACGTTAACATTGCGACATTTAACGGCAAATGATTTTTGCGACATTTAGCGGCAGTTGCGACATATAGCGGCGCCACACACCTCTACCCATTCTTTTATCATTTAAAGCCCATGTTATTGTTTCGCTCGTTCGGATAGCTCAATAGGTAGAGCGTTGGACTGTGAAACGGGCGACCCTGGTACGATTCCCGGACGGCGCAGGTCACTTTCGTGGTGATTGATTATGAAATCGATCTTTGTCCATAAACGTTGCGGTAAAAGCACTGCTTTCATTGGAAATACACATTATTTCTTTTAGACCTTGTTTACTTTGATTTTAATGATCCGGTTTGAAAAAAAAACGTATCGAAACGTATCATCTATAATGATATACCTCGATAAAAGCTAGCAATCGTTATATTTTCTTGTATTTATTCAGACATGAATCATATCATATTAATGAATTTCAATTTATTTTGTTTTAAATAATATTTCATTTCAAAATAAATATAATAATAAAAAAATAGATATATAATAATAGAAATCCACTAATATTAAAAATAAGTTTGAATCACAACAGACATTTTATTTCAATCAAATAAGGCTTATAAGCCCATGATGACATAATTACAGCATATTTACAAGATAACGAACAGTGCATATGTTAATGTACAAAACATTATCACTATATAATTATGACATTACAGGAGGTCATTAAGTATGTAAATTAACAAGAGCCATGTCAACATGGCCATCCCCCGCCGAATGTGTTTGCTCATTGGAAGAATGTATATGTAGTAGAGCAGAATAATTCAATCTTAAAAGGTCTTTTCGTAATGAAAACTGATGGCTGAAGTGATTACAGACTTGAAACCTATGTGAATACTGATGGCTGAAAATAACAAAGGGCAATAACTGAAAAAGTATGCAGAGTAGAGTTATCATTCTTGTGTGCTGCACGCCTCCTCAATGATATCTATCCACCTATGAAGTTTCAAGTTGATACCTCTAACACTTTTTGAGATAAGCTCAAGACAAAAAGTATGAAAAATAACAAAGGGCAATAACTCAAAAATTATAAAAGGAAGAGTTATCATTCTCAAGTTGATACCTCAAATACTTTTTGAGCTATGCTCCGGACAAAAATGTCGGACGGAAGGTGGGACAGACGGATAGACGAAAATGATTTCTATATCCCCGCCGCTATCGGCGGGGGAAAATAAATAATACCATGTCTCCTTATATGAAAATGCTATATCCGAAAAAGAAAAAAGGGGCCACCATATATTGAAAGTACTGTTTTTGTTAAAATAAAGGTAAGACGATATTTTATCTCATGTTATGATAAAAATATGACCCCTGTATAATTAAAATAATAAGTAATTGAACAATAATTAAAAGTAATAGTAATCCTATGGACATAATGCAATTAATTACCATTACCTGCTATACCACTTTTATGCGTGACTATAAGATAATAGGAAAAATGTAAAACCACAATTTCATTCCCTATTGGTAGAACATTATGAACAGAAAATTCTATAATTTGTCTAAAACAATTTCAAACCATGTTCGAGTTATGCATTGTGCACTAAACTTGATCTAAACATGTTATATTGGTTTATTATGTCACCGGTCTTAAGACTCCATTGAAAAACAAACATACGTCAATGAGCTTTGGTAAAATATTCGCTTTGATTAGTTAGGTTAATCATTAGATTTATTATGCTCCCCGAAGGAAGAGCACATAGTCGCCACCTTGTCCGTCTGTCCGTCCGTCTGTCCGTCCGTTGTCTTGTCCGGAGCATAATTTGAAACCCCCCCCTTGAAAGGGGGAGTGCATAGTTAAAGAACCATAACACTATTTTGCCCGCTTTTTGATTTATCTCCCCTTTTAGAAAATCTTGTCCGGGACATAACTCTAAAACTATAAGAGATATCAACATGGTACTTTGTAGGTGCATAAACCTCAATGGGTAGATGTACAGTGCACAAGAATCATAACTCTTTTTTGCCTAATTTTGGAGTTATTGCCCTTTCTTAATTTTAACACTTTGAACTTTGTCCGGAACATGACTCTAAAACTATCAGAGATATCAAGAATGAAACATTGTAGGTTGATAGATCTCATTGAGTAGAAGTGCAGTGCAAAAGAACCATAACTATGTAAAGCCTCATTTTTTTAATTACCTCCCCTTTCAGAAAAATATTGTCAAGGACATAGCTGTAAAACTATAAGAGATATCAACATGAAACTTTGTAGGTAGATATATCTTAATGGGTAGATGTGCAGTGCACAAAAATCGTAACTCTGCCTTGCCTAATTTTGGAGTAATTGCCCTTCGTTTATTTTTACTCTTTAAACTTTGACCGGGACAATACTCAAATTATAAGAGATAGATCTCATTGAGTAAAAGTGCAGTATAAAAAAACCATTGTCCAATTTTTGAATTATCTCCCCTTTTAAAAAAAATCTTGCCCGGGAAATAACTCTAAAACTACAAGGGATATCAACATGAAACTTGGTAGGTAGCTATAGATGAATCTCAATGGGTAGATAGATCACATTGATTAGGAGTGCAGTGCAAAGAACAGTAACTCTGCCTTGCCTAATTTTTGGAATTATTGCACTTTTAACTTTTTCCAGGGACATAACTCTGAAACTGCAAGAGGTGTACTTTCCTATGTCCAAAACCTATTCGGGGAGCATCACCCGGCTCAAACCGGGCTCGTGTCTTTGTGGAAATACTATATTACTGGCTATAAAGCCCTCCATATTTTTTTGCAGTCAAACTCGGGTGACCTCACTTGTGATTTCGATATTGTTTAATTAATACAATGCTGCCGCTTATATGCATGCAGTTATACTGTTAGGCCCAAAACACTAAAAAATTAAAATTATTTACCAAATACATCTGTATCGTCCTCTAACCTATCCATGTTTAGTCTGATATGAGATTATTTCCAATTAAAAATAATAAAAAAGACTAAATATGTGACTGCTAGACACCGTTCACATCTACTAAACCCTGTACATTATAACTACTACACCCCGTTCACTTAAATTTGTTTTCTTTGCTAGACTCTGTACACAAGGCAAGGCCGTTTTTTGCGAATTTTGTTAAAAGCAGCTCGAGTTGAAGGGTGTAAACTTAAATATAAGTAGAGGGATGACTATAACTTGTGTTAAACGGCGAATTTTGATACAGCAAATGCGTTTTGGGCTTGATTTAGTGGTAAATATCGACATCGTTCGCACATGTCAACAAATACGCTACATTTTGTCGCCAAGTTAACAAAAAGTATTCAATTTGCAGACAAAAGCAAATATTGTTCTAAAACCAGAAACATTTAGCTTCACAAAATTGTTTGGTTTGGAAAGATCGATGAAGTTATGATGAAGAAATATGTTAAAACATCACCTTGGCTGTACTCGGTGTGCAGTTTTTTAATTTCTACTTTCGTTTTCGGTGTTTTTAGGGGCTATATCCGGTGGACGCTGTACAACAGTGGAGACCGAAGGTCGAGCGAGATATCAATTTTCCAACGTTGCGAGTAGAAAAATACATAGCCTCAGAAAACTACTACAACATAATTTTCCTTTTATTGTATACCTTTTTGTTTTATTCAGAAAATGAAATGTAGTTATTCATGACTGACGGATGAATACTTTATTCTAGCAAAACCGGCCACGCCTTTAATAATTTTGGTTCCCGTTTCCAAATGCAACGTTATAGAAAGCTAAGATCGGAACCAACGTCAAAAATAGTCCGACACTTCCATATATGGTACCGTATTTGTCACTAACATAATACGGAAATTTCTATCCGTTGAAGCGTATTTGCGCTCCAAGATTTGCGTGTATCTATAGGTATATAATAATAAAAATTATGTAGATATAACTAAAAGGATAGTCAGAGAAAGGGAAACATATAGTGGTGTTCAAGGTAGAGTTTAACATAGTATTTTTCCACGTTGCTGTAAACCATCATCATTTCTAAAATTTTATTGCCCATGCTTTCGTTCTGTGATGATGGGTTAAGAAAATATACAAATAACCCGCAAATACATTGTTAATTATACACAAAAAGACTTATTCTTTTGTATTTCTTCTTTATATATTTCAGGTCCATATAAAACACAACACACTTGTTTGCTTTAAAAAATCCCCTTGTGAATATAATTAATACAGAATGACATAGCTTATTAATTTCTTTTCATATATAAGTAAAAAATGTGTTCAGTTTCTTGAAAGCTTCGATTAAAATAAATGTTGTTAATCAACCTCAAATTTTCACTTTTCTTTGCAAAACTGATTTCCCTAATCGCCATTTATATTCCATTTCACATTAATTAAAGATATTTCATTAACTGACGTTATTCCTTCATAATTGAACCTTAGTTTGTCTAATGCTTTAAGATTATGTTCATGGATAAATATGTGAAAACCGTGCAAATAAAGTTGCCGTAATGTACTGAGCTGGTGTTGTATTGATACGCCACCAAATATTTTGCCCCCAGGCTTACACTGGCCGAAATGTATTTCAATACAAATTTGTTTGACGTATTTTAGAACTCCCGACTTGAACATGGCCGGAAGTGCCTGCCATTCAGCACCTTCTACGTCTATCTTTAGAATATCTACAACTCTCTGAAAGCAGGAAAATTGAGAAATATATATGTTATATATAGTGTTTGATATTGTTTTAATATATAAATATAATGAACTTAACTTTTTAACATTTCTTCTCATTGACAAATGCTCGAAACAAAGAAAGAAGAAAAAACCTAGTTTCAAGGAAAATATATCCTGTATGATCTAACCTGTAAGAAATGCATTGAAGTTAATTATAAGATCAAAGCTGAAGTTTCGCCGAGCCATTTAAACCCTTACCACGCTAAATATATCAAATGAACTTTTCGTCCATTTTTCAATATGAACTGAACCATTCATTATTTTAGTTGTTATGATAAGTGCTTTACGGACAATGCAGACCATGACCATGGATAAGGCATGGAAGTGTCGGGCACTGGTCGCATGCATGGGTTGAATATGGTGGCTGATTTGTGCTATGTCGTTCTTTTGCTCCCGGGGCGAAAGACGAAAACACGAAAATACGACAGAGATCACAGTGTTTTTGCCTTGAGCCCCGCGGAGCGAAAGTAGGACATGGCACAAATCAGCCACCATATAGAAGGACTTACCATCACCAAGCTATTTAAGGGTTAAAAAAAATTGACATACTCTTTCATGATGAAGTTCTTTCCTTATATTTGACAGGTTGTTCACTTTCCAACCATCCTTTATAATAGTGTTGCTGTCATATAACCCGACCAGATGATAATTAATCTCGCTTGGAATTTTCACTTTACTCGTTATTTCTCGACTGTATAAAATCAAAGAAATTCAAATATCTATTAGCGCAGGTTCAACTGATTTTATTATTTAAAAAAAAAATTTCTTTTGAGCGGCCTTTCAAGATGTAATTCTGTTGAAAAACTTTCTTTAAGTACATTTTAGCTTATGATTTACATAAAAACAAGTACATTCTAGAATAACATCCAGGAAAAATAATATGATTTACAAATATAATTCGTTTAAAACCTGAACCGATTGTAGGACCAAGACTATTTAAACTTTTTGAATCAAGAATTATCATCAAAATCTTTCAGAATTTTAATTGATTAAATGAGCCTATCATTATCTATAGTGTAATGTAAAGTATAGTTTCATATGGACATGTATATTATATGACCAAAAAAGAAGTTGCTAGATAGAACTACGTAGACAGAAGGATGCATGATGTATATAAATAACAATACCCATCATGCATGTTTTACTTGAGCTTAAATATTGTATCTCAAAACCTTTTCCCGGTTATAATGAAACGCTGAATAAAATTCAACAGCCATATACATAATGCCTCTTTCTGGACATGTAACACTTATTTGAATGGGGAGGGAGTCGTTATAACCTCATGTGTTCTATGAAAATCCAGGTTTCATTCTAGACAGATTTTTACAGAAGATTTGTCTTGCATATATGACACAACTGATGATTAGGAGTTGGACAAAATGCTCTAAAAATACTAAATTGGTGTAATATATGAATTTGTCCCATTCTTAAATGATTTCAGCCAATCAGAAACATGTTTACAGTCTAGTTATACTGTGTGGAGGTACATGTAATATGTATAGGACTTGTTCTATAATGGTAGTCATGTCAGTCATGTCTCAATTTCCATGATCATTCAAACTTATTTAAGAGTTAAAAATATGTTACCTTGGATCAAACGTGTGCACTTCACATCCAAATTTCTTCACAATATCCATCTCAAAGTCAAACTGAAAATTAGACCTACAAAACAAAACAGAAAAGTGTGTTATTCAGAATGTTTATGAAATATTGCAATGTTTAATTTATGATATCGGTGTCAGAATATTACTGATTTAATAAAATAAAAAAGTTGTCTTAATGTATTATAAATAATCAAAGACTTCATCGCCAAGAGGAAAGTGTTCAGGTAGCATGAAATTAAGCAGTTAGGCCTTTTCATTAGCATTAAAATATATTCCAAAGTATACTGATCTGTAAATTGATATTCTTGAAGGGCTGCACTATAAAAAATTTCAATGGAATTTATTTCTATAACGTGGACTAAAATTACACTTGCCCGAACGAATACACGAGGCATGGAACGCGAGGCTTATATTGCTCGTCTATACACACTTCTTTTCCTCCATCCTTTAAAGACCCAACCCGTGTTTGATTTCTACACAGCACTTGTAATGTGTTAATGTACCTTTAACGAAAATATTAGTTAAAGATAAGAATAAAAGGGTCTGATAGTTTTGATATTTTCCTCGTCTTTATAACATAACCATTGTCTAAAATGGTTTATTATACATTTATAAAACGAATGCAAGTCAAAAGTTATTTGGACTGGTCGTCAGTGCAGTTCGCTAAATAAACGATGATTTCCAAAAGTCTCCTTCATTTTGAACGACAAGTCTGTGAACAATTTCGTTTAACAGTTTAGTTACTATGTTAGATATATTTAAGAGTTGGAAATTACATTTTGTCTAGTGAAATTTTTAAGTTTTCAAATTCTTTGATGTATTTAGTCAGACAGATGTAATTTCATTTACAATGCTGACTTACAAACATTTACCTACATTTTAAGGGCTGTGAAGGAATTCTTAAAAAGTATAATAACAAGTGGTCAAAGGGCAATTATATGTTATCAGAGAGCTAGGACTTAATTGATGATACTAAAAAGTAAGAATACTTCCAGAACATGTCCACCATTTCCACTGTCGTCATATCTTTAAGTTTGACGTCATCGGCTGGCAGGAACACCTTCCCATTATCAAATTGTCTTAATGACGGTGCGTCAACCTGTAGGTTAAAAAGTGAAGTCATTTCATTCAGTTTCACGTTTGTCATTTAGAAAGTTTAAAATATCTGTCTCATTGAGATGAAAGATGCCTGCAAGTGTGGTAAAAACGCTCCATAGTAACTGACAAAAATATTCATAAAGTCAAGCTTATCATATACGCAAGACTTTCACGTACCGAAATAATAATTATCGCAGGGATATCAAAAGGGTAACAAGAATCACTTGAAAGTTTGGCAAATAACTGCCAGATGGATACCCCATTTGCTTACATCTGACAAGTAAAATGCTGTAAAAGAATTTCTGAAAATGTTTCTGAATATGACAGTCTCCATATTGTGTATGGTGGTGATGTTGATTTCATTATTTCAAATCTCGTGAATTTGTTGTATGAAAGGAGTGCATTTTTGCATGACAACGCTCCTGTTCCAATGGAGCTACAGTTATTGATTTTTCTTTCAAGAAAAACGAGTGATGGTCCTTAAAAATCTGTATTCTTTATACTTGGCATATTGTGACTTTTTCTAGACTAGAAAAAAACAACATTTATGTCATCGCTTAAAGTGTTGAAATTGTTATTTTTTCAGTTATTGAAAAGTATACCTAAAGGGTGACTATTTTGAAACATTTAAACATTGGATTAAACGTCTGAAACTTTGTATATCTGAGCCGCGTCATGACAAAACCAACATAATGGGTTTGCGACCAGCATAGATCCAGACCAGCCTGCGCATCCGCGCAGTCTGATCAGGATCCGTGCTGGTCGCTTACAAACCCTATTACAAGTAGAGAAACTGATAGCGAACAGCATGGATTCTGATCAGACTGCGCGGATGCGCAGGCTGGTCTGGATCCATGCTGGTCGCAAATGCACTATGTTGGTTTTGTCGTGACGCGGCTCATCTGTTGAAAGAGATTGTTTCGAAGTGTTGAAGAAAATTGTAAAATATTTGCTCTTTTCTTTAATTTATTGACCATATTGCAATACATATTGATCCACCCTCGTATATAGGTCATCTTCAATAAACATTTGTAATTGTATATGTTCTTGGAAAAGCACTTGTGATTCTTGTGAAATATTGTTGTGTGATAGCGTGAATTATTCACGACTTGATCAAAACCAATAAAATTACAAGTTAAGCACAATTTATGACTGCAGTTATTGTCCTCTATAAAAACAATGTCTGAACATATGCGACACGTTTGGTTTTTTGTATGTTTGTTTTGGTGTGTGCAAATCTGTTAATTGATCCTATTAAATCAGATTATGTTGCGAAAGAAACTTAATGCAATGTAATTTACATTGCATTAAGTTTCTTTCGCAACATAATCTCAACATAATCACAACAGCCTCGAAATGCTTTTAACTGCTTTTAGCCGGATATTATTAAAAAATAACAATAAAAAAAATACAGTAAGAAATATATGCTGTTCAGATGAGATCACTGAATTTTACAGAATTAAGAACACCTAATAGAATACAAATATATATACATGCGCAGTGTTAAATGATAACAGTTTACACAATAGAAAGTCATGTACATAATACGATACGATACGATACGGTACGACACGACACGACACGACACGACACGACACGATACGATACGATACAATACAAGTACAAAACAATACAAGTACAATACAATTCACTACAGCAAAACAATACAATACAAAATAGAAAACAAGTCTATCGAACGTACGTTGCAGTGCAGTGCCAGTCAATGAAAGTAGAGTACTTTTATCGAAATTACATAGATACAAGTTAAATGTTGATGCAGCACATCAAAGACGCCACCATATGATGTGAACAGTCAATCAGCATTGAAAATCGTTCTCTATTACAGTTGAATATCCGAAGCACAAATCATTTTTTCTCCATATTCTTGGGAAGTGTTCGTTGTTTTATAATAAGTTGCATATATTTGTGGAAAAGTAACACCTCATGCATAAATTCACAAAGTAATGGCATGTCTGAAATTCTGAAATGTGTGTCTGCTGTGACAAAGATTGAAACGTCTGGTCGAAGCAAATACATTGTATAACAAGTAAAATTGAAATGATTGGTATACTAAAAAAATTTTTTTTCAAGACAATATGTGCCATGTCCATTAAGATATTGGTACGAATTGCATAATGTTTGAATGTCGAATGATTTTGAGGACGAACTGTTCTGCAGTGATCTCCCCTTACTGCCTGCAGCGTAAACGGTGCGCAGTTTGGCGTACTTTCTTAACAGTTGAGGGAGAACCGCCTCTCTGATAGTGGGCGTGGTTTAGGCTTTGTAACTTGTAATTTAATGATTCAACAAGTGATATTGATCAAAGTTGTCCTGGTTCCCTTCCGCCCCGTCAACGAAGACTGCATCATATTGAATTTGGCGACAATTTAAGGCGGAGCCAAACTTCAACAGAGGCAGAGCAAATGATGTGAGTGACACTGCCTCAGTCGTTACCTCTCTCAACGATTAAGTTTTAGAACAATCGACTATAGACTGGCACATTGGCACGTTATTTATTATGTAGATAAAATTAGATAATGATAAAAAGATTATGATATTCAAACATGGCACCATCACTTCAGTTAAACGTTTATTCTAATCCATTAAAGCTCTGTGACATGTACATCAGAAAAGCTATTTTAAATTGAAAATCTATTTTGTTAAAACCGTAAAATTACACAAAATCAAGTCTAAAATTTCCCCATTGCTGTATGGACAAATGCACATCTACTAGACACCGCGTGCATGAGGCGTCTAATGACAACGTATAAATATCTTTTGAAATTATTTGTCTTGCACTGATCAAATTCAGTAAATAAAACGCGGTAGCTGATTATTCCTTACATTTCAAAACCGGTGATAAGTGCTGTGGTGGCTGGTGAAATATTTAAAAAAAAAAGATCCCTCGGAAGCATTAAAAACAGCAAAATTACATGAAAATTGCAGACTCGGTTTGATTGAGTCTGTACTTGAGGGACAACATAAAATTGCAACATCCGTCACGCCCCCCCCCCTTTGTACATATCATTTTCAGAAGATGGGCCTGAGAGATGTATTAGTATCTCTCATAAACAGACGCAATCAAATAGAGCCTTCAATTACCACTGAAATTAAAGATCTCCTCTTATCCAGGTTTTCATTGCGATCAAGGCACTCATTTATAATATTGTGTATCTGTCAGCGAACGTTGTCCAGTATCTAGCACGTTTTGACATGTTGGTGAACGCTTGCTTACATCTATAGTAATGTGACGGGATACAATGTTTCCGAATATTTAAACGCTCTTTTCATAGAGCTCTGGCAAAATGTATTATAAACAGCTGTTTTCGAAATAAAGTTTGATTACCTGGAAAATGGTAACACGGTAGCTCGGAAGATAATAGTAAGATGATACAAATTAATATTAAAATTCCAGGTGCATTTTTATAACTTATTCTATACATGATTGGTAAAACAAAAGTAAAATGTAAGGGTATAATGATAATTTTACTTTTGAATGTGTAAATATATGTTGTAGTACGTTATATCAGTCAATATTTACTTACCGGAGAATATTTTTTCCGAAGATCTGGTACTTGTATTTCAAATTTGAAAATAAACAAATACACTAGCAACATGAAGATTAACGGAACGAGGAACCGTTTATATTTATAAAATATATTAATAAACATTTTAACACACTTATATCCTATCTAGTATCTAATTTATCGATGACTACTTATTAACAATGGATATGCATATTGAAGGCATAATCTGTTAGGTTACATGCGTGACATGTGTGAATACCGCACAATAGCTAATAGCAGTTCTACATCTTTTCTCCATATTTTAGAAAAAAAATCACTGTTAAAAGTAACATATCTCTTCTAATAAACTCACATTGAAGTCGGTTAAAATAACATCAAAGCGCGCGATGAACGAATATGTACACTCTGTAACTTTAGCGACATTGGAGACGAATTTCAGTCAGAAATTAACAACATATATATAGAATGTTTCGTTTTTGCATTCTGACAGAAATGGAGAAAAAATGTTCCTTAATACGGAGAGGTTAAACATATAAGAAAAATATAAAAGAATAAAAAAATAACCTTATTGAAATGAACAACTATCAAAGCTACGGAATTACATGAGAATTAAAGGCACATTATGCTTCAGAAACTTCTTTTGAAATAGAAGTTCAAAGAATCATTGCTTTTAATGTGTAAAGAGTCTCGCTCCTTGATAAGTGATGCGAGAACATTATTTGATAATATTTACGGTCTGCGGAAAGTGAATACCATGCGTTGATTGCTTTTGAAATATATAGAAGATTTTGTCAACAAGCCTGGAATAAAATAAATAAATTTGGGCCTAGCCAAAATAAACGTATGAATATTGTAATGGGCACGTAATTCGTGCCGAGCATGTTGTCTTCGAACGTTGGAAGTTAGATTTCGAGAGAAATCACTACTGACTTTGATTAATATAAGTAGATTTATTTTCTTTAATAAATAAAGCGTTTTAATTTAGCGGGTTATTAATGCATGGCCGTATCAACACTCGTCTAAGCGTGTATAAAACTGGTTTAAAAATTTACACCGTTATCTCTGTCACGTGAATTCCGTGCGTAGAATCCTACAGCTTTAGTAAATCACTTCTAGTTTAAATTCCAACGTGGTAACATCGTTCATTAAAATCCACAGCCGATGTTTATATAGCAGCTGATATGGTTTAAAATGCAGACATTCATGCAGATAAGTATTTTATTTGCCATAATTGTTTTTTTTAACTGTTAGAGATGGTATTCTATGATTTTAATTTTTTCCTCTCATGTACATTGCAGTTCATAGTTGGTGAGTTCGCTACCTTTGTTCTCTACCTTGCCTTAATTAAATAAATCAGTTAGCTTTAGTATTATACAATATAAAAGTGCATGATTTATTTAATTTCCGACTGTTAATATTAAGAGGATATTTTTTCGTTTGAGTGAAATATGGAATATATTTTCACGAAACATGATAAAATGCCACATATTTTCACGAG